AGGTTAGCCTGTCACAGTTTCATGGATGCTGGTGGGCTATGCAAGACATCAGGAGGTGAAGGACAGTTTATTACTCATGACAATAGCAGTAGCCATAGTATTAGCATTTTTGCATTAGTTCTCTGAACCCTAATCCCCTAGGGTGACATGAAGAGGTCTATATGCCTCTTCCACACACAGGGGCTTACATTTTAAGAGAGGAACCCTGAATTTAGGGAACTCACATCTCTTATAATGGGCAGTAAGCATGCCTGCCCTTTGCTCTGGATGAGACACTGTGTCTGTCTTTTCTAGGCTATTGGTTATACAAACATCTTTGAGAAGATAGTTTGGCATAAAGGCAGTCAATGTTTCCGCTTGAATGAGAGACCCATGGAGGGCTGTCTCCCAACAAAGGGGGTGCTCATGATTTTTGCTTGTGTTTTAGAACATTGAACTTAGATTGTCTCCTTTGGATTTAGTCTACTCGAGATATTTCTTTCTGTTCTTCGGGACCAAAGATTACTTTTCATCCTAATCATTGATGCTCAAACATAAAATGTTATAAAATGGATTATTGAGAGAACTTGGTTCTAGCTGGTTTGTTATAAAAAAAATGAATATCTCTTCCAGAAAACTTTCTTTCTTAAGGATCAAGAGCCTTAAAAATGTTTATACCCTTTGACATTATGATTTCACTTCTGAGAATTAAGTCTTAGAAATTAATGTTTATTTTTAAAGACATGCACAGTTATCACTATAATAAAGCATGGTATTACTTTATTTGATGAATTATTTATATGATGGATTGCTATGCATTCATCATTAAAAATGAGATTTTCTTTTTTTCTAAAATTTCTTTTTAATGCTAAAAGAAAGTGTTCATTGTATAATAATTGACAGAGAAGAATCAAATTTTGGGGAAAATTAATATATTTGGGAGATAATACATGAAATTATAAGCAATGATTAACATTAGTTGCTGAATTCTAAGTTATTTTCATTTTCTTTAAACTCTTCTGTATTTTTCAAACTATACTAATGAACATTGGTGATGAGGGGGGAAGATATGTTCCTTTTTGTCCCTTGTGTTAATTTTATCTGTCTAATGGAAGGTAGCTAGTGGTGAAAGCCAAGTATAATACTTAGTTTTGAAACTTCCTTAATAGCAACAGTGTAAATAGAAGTGCTTAACTAATACTTTAACCAGCTTACACTTTATACTGCAGCAACCTATGTGCCTGTAATTTCTTAACCAAAAAAAATAGATAAATAAAAAAAGATAAAGGCATCATTGCCCTAGAGCCAATCTTATGAGATTGTCTGTCATAGCCTCTGAATCTAGAGGAAATAGGGAGGAAGAAACTAATAGTAATGTTTATTGAGTACCTTCTATGATGGTACCTTGTGTGCTGGTATTTTATTTAATGTTCACGGTAACTCAAAATGTGAAATGTAAAGGTATTTTTCTTATTTTACAAATAAGAAAATCAAAGAGAGATTAAGTATCTGGCCAGAGTCACATAGCTGATAATTGCCACTGCTGGAAATCTGGCCCCAAATCCATGCTTGCTCCATTTCTGTCCTTAAAAAAGTTTTGAAGTTGTGGTATTTTGATTAGCCATTGGAAAACAAGTTTTGGCTGGCAGACATACGTTCAAAGCATATTCTTTGAAACCATATAAGCAAATGAATTAGGAAATAGCATGAAAACAGGGTAGATGCCTGTAAATGCAGGCTTATCTACAGAGTACATTTCTCAGTGTTGAATATTGGCTCACTTTTGTTTTTGCTTGCATCTTTTTAAAATTCAGATTATGATTCATATCCAGTCAAATATGTTGAAAACCCTGATAGAGATACTAACGGATGCTACAGAGGGAAATTTATCAAGATTTGTGAAAAAACATGAGTTCTCAGAAGAAGTGGTGAGTATGTGGTTGCTGCAGCAATCATTTAAAGGTGAAGAGGAAAAAGGTTACCTCCTTAGAGAGATGGTTCAATATGGTAGCCTCTCTTATCATTCCTGTTATAAGATTTCTCTGTGTGGGTGCAAAGAGTTTTTTCCTTCTAACAGAATATATCCTCTGAAATACTAGGAAAACTTTTTCCTTTTACATTATTCTTTTTCCCACACTGTTTTCATGGGTCCTGGCTCTCTTTTTTCCCCTTCCCCTCAAGCCTTCAATACCTTCTCCCCACTCCTCACTCTCAGATGATGACCTTGCTTCCTGTTTCAGTGCGGGTGTGTGTGTGTGTGTGTGTGTGTGTGTGTGTGTGTGTGTATGTGTAAGCAATCAAAAAATAGCTGCTTCTGCATTGACAGCCTTCTTGCTCCTCTCCCTGTATGCTCAGTCTTCTCTCCTGAAGCCATGGTGACTGCACATAGCTCTAGAACCAGCTCCCCAGTTGGGCCCTGCAGCCAGTCCTCTCTGACCCATCCAGGGCATCAATTCAGAGATTGTCTCACCCTCTTTTGAGCATCATTAATATCCCCTTCCCTGGAGATCATTCTCATCAGCAAACAATAGGCTATAGTGTCTCCTATCTTTTTTTTTTTTTTAAGTCTCCCCTATTTAAACAAATGAAAAAATATACCATGTATTTAGATGAGAAGACTCAACCTCATAAAGTCAGTTTTTCCCAAGTTAATGTGATAATGTAACATCCGAATAAAAATACCATTAGTTTTTTTTCTGTAGTTAAGGTTTAGTAGGAAGAACAAACTAGCAAGACCAGCTGGGAAAACCTGTGAAAGAAGAGCAGAAAGAGGCGCTAGACCTGCCAGGTATTAAACCATATTAAAGCTTCTATAATTAGAATTGTGGTGTTAGCTCCTGAATAAACCAACTAATGGAACCATATAAATACTTTGCAGAATTCTAAAACAAAATTAAATAAAAATGAAGAGAAAGAAGCAATTTTTAAAAATCGAAAGCAAAATGAACAAATGAACCAGTGTGTCACATTGGCGGCTTAAGCACACAAAGAGGAATTATTAGTCACTTGAAATTTAGTAGTTTGTATATCTCTAGTAGTAGATTACCTCAGGGGGAAAAAAAGCTGTAAAGAAAGTGCAGATTATTGGCAGTGATCATATTGTTAACCATGATACGGTTATTGTTGTTTTGTCTCGCAAGGGGGCCTGTTGGTTGGTCATCCTTCCCCTGCTTTTATCCTTCCTTCTTTTGCCTTTTATATTACTGGTCCCAGCTGGTAGCTGAGAAGGCAGGATTGGCAAGTGGCTGCTTTCTCCTCCTTTGCCATATCGTTGCCTTCCAAGTCCTATCCCCTTTTCTCACTTCTACACAAAGACTTCTTCCTGCTGGTATAGGGAGCTTGACAGGAAACTAACTGGGTATGATTGATTTTAGAGCTTCTTTCTATCTGATTTCTCAGCTCTGTACAGGTTGTGACCTACCCAAACCCTTTGGACTATGTTAGAAAAGTAGGGGCACTGGAAATGTAGACAGGTTTTTAAGTGCACAGCCGTGTGCATGTGTGCGCAGTATTAACACAACTTCAGTTTTCTCAGTAGCACTGTTGTTAATCATTCCTTAGATCTGGTCCATCAGTATGTTATCAGCTATATGACTATAGCATCCAAACAAACTCCACATAGAAAAATACTAATTGTTTTTATCTGAAAAAATTTTCCCCAAAGCCTATAAGACTGATTTACTTAGAAAGGTCATTCTCTAGTTCAATATGTTCCCCTGGGTATTGTCAGACACTTCAGGGAACAGCTTGTTGAGAAATGAATTGATCCATTTAACCAGGTAGCTTTTGAGCTAGTTTGAAGTATGTTTGCGAGATTACATGTGGAGTCTTATATTGTAAAACTCTCCATTTTACAAATGCGTTCCTTAGTGTTAATACCAACAGTGTGGAGATAAGGTGCTATTTTACCACCAGAGGAATGTTGAAAAGAATTGTTGATTTTCTACAACACTAGGACTGAAACCACTCAAACAGCAGCTTGTTTCTTCATTGATTTCTTTTTTAAAACTAAATTAACAAACAATTTAATATAATCTTTTTTTCTGCTTAAGTTGTAGAATGCTGCTAATGACACCATTTAACATTTTTGTAACAGTGTAAGAGAACTGATGCTATATATGCAGTTAGAAAAGAGTTACTTCCAGGTTGGCATGTTTTGCTTTGCTTCTTTTGGAAGCCATAGCTGTACATTAAGTCACTTCACCTTGAACATGAGGACTAAACAAGCTCTTCTTTTTAAGGACATTAAGAAGTGCTTAAACTTTATCTGAGAGTTCAGTGAGGAGCCCTCATGTGACAGGAAGTTGTACAGGTGTGTGCAGTACTTGGATTATGGTATATTTAGAAGACGACCAAAGGATATGTTGGGAACCTTGATTACAATTAAACTTCACCAAAAACTATTCTTAGGCTATATCACTTATAAGGATTGGACTAAGTAAAACGTTGATTTTGTTCAGAAAGAAGCTTCACATTCTAATTTTGGGTTCATTCATTTTTGTAGAATTAAATGCCTCATATACTTGTGACTAATATTTACACCTCTGGTCTAGACCTCTCTGACATGCCTCATTCTTGTATATCCAACAACTTCTTGACATGTCCGCTTAGATGTTTCACAGGCATATTAGTCATGTCTGAAACAGAACTTGATTTTCCCTCTCCAAATCCGGTCCTCCCATCTCCCCATTTTGGTTAATGACGTCGCCCATCACCAAGTTATAAAGCTTTAATTGGGAAGATATCTTTGAATCCTCCCTTTCCTTCACCCCTTCAACAATAATTTTTTTCAGTTTAACCTCCAAAACATACTTCACACACATCCACTCCATCTTTTCTATACATTACTCAGTCTAAACCATCATCCTTTCATCTGGCTTATGGTGGGGGCCTCCAGATCAGTCTACACATTTTCATACCTGCCAATTCTCTACACAGCTTTATAAACCAAAATCACATTATGTCTCAATTTGGACTCTCTAAGAGCTTTTAGAATAAGTTCCAAAAAACTTACCACATGTAACTCCAAAGCCGACATTCAAGTGATGATTGAAGTAAATAGAAGAGGAAAACCAGGCCAGAGAGAAGAGGATGTAAAGGAAAAGCAAGTGGCCGGTAGAGCTGCATGTGCTCTGGAGTACAGAAGTCCCCCATACTTACCGTCTGCCATTGCCAAAAGCTGACTGTGGCTGACAGGACACTAATAACAGGGACACATACTCACCTGTTCTTGTGAGAATCTGCACATTCCGCCTGTCTCTCAAGACTGGAGATGTATTCATTCTCATCCCAAATACACTCTGAAAAGTGCCAGAATGGAAAGTGTTCCTAACCTAACACAAGACATTTAAAAAAAAGAAAAGAGATTTCCAATCTCTGAGAAAAAAAAAACACAAATTACCATGTGCTATAAAGCCCAATAAAAATTTGGTCCTGCCTTCTGCTCTGGTTATTAAATTGGACAAACTTGTTCCATTGCTATTTGAGCTCCTTTTCCTGCTGTGTCTCATTATATAGTATGTGTGTGACATTTAAACTCCCTTTTATAAGATATTAGGTATGATTTTCAAGTACTAGTTCTGAGTTTTGCGTGTAGCTTGCGGAGTCCCTTTTAGTCAGTCATACCTCTGCATGTCCCAGCACCCTGGCTTTCAGCACTTCAGGTGCACACTGTACTTTTCTACACATTTATGTCTCTCCTTGAAGGACAGAAAGAACAAGGAAGAAATCTTGCAGAGATATAATGTTTTGCTTTCCTTGCATTTTTCCAGCTGACCAAAGTGAGGGAAAAAGTGAAGGACGTTCCTGCCCTTCTGGCCAGATTTGATGAGCTCTATGGGAAGCTGCACATAAATGGCCAGGTCACCACTTACACTTTGGACGCTCTCCTCTGTCATACCCCCAAGGACTGGAAGTCCCACATGGTGCTATCAAACAAGAGGACAGTCAGCCGTCGGACGTTCCAGCCACTCAGCCAGTCCCTGTGGGCTGAGTAACCTTAGGTTCAAACCCCTGTGGATCTGAGTTGGAGGGGGCCTGCTTCTAGTCAGTTATTGGCGCCCTAAGATTTCAGGCACCAAACTCCAGTAGACACTACTAATTAACACTTGGTCTGCTCCTTAATTTCCATGCTTGTTGAGTGCTGGCATGCTAACTGAGAAGTGAGTATGTTGTGCCACTTTGGAGATCCAGATACAAGTGAACAGAAAGCTCAGCTCCCTCAGAAAGGAGGCTTCCCCTGTGTAAACCGCAGAGGATCCTGGAAGGAACATGGTCTCAGTCTCCAGTCCAGCTTCCAGTACCAGACAAGAACCCAGTAAGCAACAGTGGGAAGGAATTTCACAAAGTGGCCAATTCCAGCTAACTTTCAGGGGAGTAGTTAACTTGCAGATTATACCCTTGCTGAATTCAGAGTGTTCGAATGCCTATTCTACCATTCTGGGAAATAGCCCAGGATTTTCTCACTGATTCTGTCATCATTTATCTGTGACCCTAAATGAGATATTTGGGCCCTCATTTTTTTCATCTGTAAAATAATAGTGCCAGTATGAATCTGCGTATTGATTTGCAATTTTCATTTAAGGTTCAGTAGGGTCAAATTTTCTTAAAAAAATAAGAAATAAAAAGCTTTCCAAAACTTTTTTGGGATTATGTCTTATTTTCTCAGCAGCAGAAACAAAACCGGAATTTAGCTCTCAGAACTGATTAGTAAACCAAAATTTAAATGATTACTGCTTGGTCACAGGCAAGCCATGTACTTTGCAAAATAAATGCCAATGAAAACCACATAATGCTCTCTGGATTGCTTAGTTTTCTATGTGGGTCATAAATATTTGGTCCTATAGTTCATCTCACTTGTTAACCATTTTCTCTTTTTTTCTCTGAATATTTAATTTTTTGGTAAAAATAAATGCATCCTGACAGCAGGTCAGAGCTTCCTCATCTGGTGAGCAGTGCCTTCTGCTTCTGCAGGCCCATGGGACATTCTCGCCTCTCAGCCCTCTTCCTAGAGCGCTGCAGGCTCTTCAGTGCTGCTTCAAATCCCAAGGCTAACTTTAACTTCATAATCTTTCTGAGGCAAGAATTGCTCATAGAATCAGAAATTTTAGATGAGGAGAAGTCTGAGTCTTTTAATTTAACTCCCTCTTCTCTCAGGTTGAAGAAATGACTTATTGGAATTGGAATAGTTAGTTTGAGGTGGAGCTGAAATTAAAATCCAGATTCCTAGTCTCATACCCTTTCCATCATACCAAATTGTGTCTCTTCAGAGGAGAAAAGGGAGAATCTCTTCAGAGAGAGACTACTAAGGGCTCCCACACTTACTGTGTGGCATGAGCTCGCCTCAGTCTCCGCATCTGTTAGATGGGGGATAAGAATAGTACTCACCTCCTAGGCTTGGTGCGAGGATGGAATGCGATAGATAAAGCAAGCAAGACTGTCCCTGACACAATGTAAGTGCTATATAAACGTTAACTATTGTTATTACTGTGGTAGCATTCTGAGCGTTTGCCCCTAGTTGAAGAATTATATAAACAAATGCGTTCTTCCTCCTCAGAAATATCAAAAGAATTTCTTTGCTTAGGCTCTGTGAAGCATTAGTAGCCCCACTTAAAGGAAATTCTCTGCCTTCATAGACTCTTAACTGCATCTTGTGTGTCTTGTGTTTTGCAAAAACAAACATTTGAATTTCTCTACCTTCAAAGTCTTGGGGAATAATAGGGCACGCTTCCTGTCCCCCAACTTATCTTTTATCTTCTCCAACATCAACAAAGAGCATTCAAATGACTGTTATGCCCTGGGTGGATGTGGCCCCGGTTGTTAGCTAACAACCATTCATTAGCCAAAAATAAAAAAAAAAAAATGACCAATAAATAGCAGCGGTGACCTTGAGCCCTGCTTCTCTGAGCAGCGGGCAACTAGTGTCCTGCTGACCAGAAGAGCTAAGCTATTTGACCTGTTGCCTGAAGTCTTTCTGAAGGGCAGCTTAGTAGAGAGGTAACTGATGTACATAATGTTCATCCCCAAATGACAGACGATTCTGAAGGCTAAAAAAAAAGCCATCAAATAAAAAGTATGTTCAGTACGTAGTGTGTATTTTGTTCTTTAAAATTTGGTAATTTCTTTGAAAAGTGGTGTTTCTTTGCATTCAATAATTTGCCTAAAGCATGTCCTTACTCTGTTACTGAGACTATTTCACTGGACAGAACATCTTATTCCCTAACTCTGTTATGTTTCTCTGTAGATTGTTTTCACTTACTGTAAATGTCTATTGCTCCAGAATCCAAAAGTTGTCCTGGTGGGCACAGCACAGTATGAGAAAGAGACAAAACGATATCTTCTTTAATTAGGTGCTATCAGGACAGTGTTCTAGTTCTCTCTTGCTGTATCAAAAACACTGCAGAATTTAATGGCTTAAAACAACACCAGTTATTTTACGATATCTCATTATCCTTAGGGAATAAGGATAATTGACTGGACTCAGCCAGGCAGTACTTACTCAGGGTCTCATGTGGTCATAGATGATGGCTGGGACTGGACTCGTCTCAAAGGCTTCCTCACTTAATATTTCCGGCAATTGATGGTAGGTCCTCAGCTGAGACTGGGGCCAGATCATCTACACGTACATATACGTATCCATGTAAACTAAAGCAACATATGACAAAATAGCACAGGGCTTGACAAAAATAACCCAAGATTCAAATTTACTTTATAACATTTCTATCTACTCAGTAACTAAAATACTGATATAAAAAATCACAATGGCAGAAGCTATGATCAGTGAAATTTGATGTACATTATGCATTAAAAAATGTATGGTGAACCAAATCATTGTGAATTGATTCCAATGGAAATATTTCAGAGCAGTAAAAAAAAAAAAAAAATTTTAAGGAAATGGTTTGACTTTATTGCATAAATGGATCAAAGAATTAAGTTGGCTTAACTGGCATTACTTAAAATATATCTTCTGAACTGATTTTTGAACAATCAAAAATTGATATTGGTATAATTCTGAAATACTTTTTATTTGCTAACATGGAGTCAAAACAAGGGGATTAAAAATTGCTCTTTTCTATTGAGTTTGCATTCTACAAGAGAAGACATTAAACAGATAACTGGGCAAATGACCACATGATCACAATTGGGATAAATAAGTCCTGAGTGATACTCATATCACCCTGTGGCAAAGATAATAAGTGGCATGAGCGCGCGCGCGCACGTGCACACACACACACGAGAAGGACCTTGTCCTTCGTAGCACCAATTGTGTATGCCACTCATTTTGACATGTAAAGTACATTGCCTTGCGTTATTACAGAAGTTTTCTCCCTAAATGTATCTCGTGTCTCCTGAAGGACAAAGTAGTCTACATTTGTTTTGTATGACCCCAAAGTGCCTACATAGCATAATATTATACATATAATTAAATGGGGCCTTCATATTTTTGTAAGAGTGAATTAATTAATGGCAGATTTTAGTTAATATGTATAGTCCGCCATGATATGCTTTAAGTACTTCACAACTATTTCATAAACTGGTCACTCTTTTTATTCCAGTTTTACCTATGACAGCCAAGACCCAGAGAAATGGAAAGCCTGAGAAGGGGGTGTGGGTCAACTAGTATATTAACACACTTGTCCCAGATCCCTCTCCTCCAGTGCTGACACTAAGGTTTTTTCCCCTGCATATTTCCAAGCGCTCAGCTATTCTGAGACAGAAGGTGTATTGGGGGAGAGCCCAAGGGTTTCAGGTGTAACTTCTAAGCTGCTAATGAAAGGGGTTCAAAATGCTGCTGAACAATGTACCCACCCACTTGTCGATCTTGCTCAGTGATCCCTTCCTCTAAGGACTGTGGCCTCTAGGGGCTTTGGAGGCAGCATTACCGCAGTGATTAAAGGTGGGGCTGGGGAAAGAAGGCCTAGAGTGGGAAAAACCACGCTTGCTGCGAATCACTGCTCTGCAGCAGAAACACTCCAAAGCTGGCTGCTTCGGGAGAGAAGAAGGCCTCGTTGAATCAGGCTCTGAGAGGAAAATGCACAGGGAGCCCCTGAGTCAGCCTTGAAGACATCAGAGCAGCACTGTCACCTACAGGCTTGCTTGGCAAATGTATTGCCGAGTTAATGATGCTTACATCCCCCATGTCTCCCTGATTCCTTTCCTGCCCAGAATCAGGCCAAGCTGCTCAGCCAGAACAGCCCAGTGTCACCAAGTCACTTAATCCCCCAAATCTCTCTCACTCCCAGGCAGCAAGACCATCCTGTTGAATTACAAATGACACCACAAAGGAAGGCTTAACCCGTGCAAAACAAAGCCAGTGCTCTACAACTCCATTTGATTTTGAATCCATGGACGCAAGTCACATACCTAGCAACAGCAGAACCTTCCACTGCACTCCAGGGAGGACGCATTATGTAGCCATTAAAGTTCAAGAAGATTCAGATGACCTTCAGTTTCAGGCTGGAAATTATTGGATTAACTTCAGATAGTTTGAGGAGTACATTCTTGTAGCTGGTGAGAGGATGGTCACATGCATGTCCAAAGATAATTCAGCACAAATATTGCTCACTGAGAAACTAGGACAGAACGAAGCAACTCACCATGAGGCTTTTGGGCCACAGGGTTTGTCTCCCTATATAAAACTATGAGGAAACGTCATTTCCAATTTAGATTAGCATAATAATTTCTTTGATATATCAGTGCTCAGGTGATGGGGAATTCAACAACGACATGGCTTTGTATACTAGGGTTCATAAAATAAGTAAAAGAAAAAAACAGCTAACCCATAATAAGACCATTAGGCCCTGGGCAAGCACTTTGTATATAGTATCAAATTTAACCCTCAGGCCCCCCCTCGTGTGGTCCTGTTACCCCATTTCACAGATGAGGAACTGAAGCTCAGAGAGGTTAAGTTACTTGTTCAAGGACATAGTACTAGGGAGTGGGTAAGCACAGGTGCACACACATGCATGTGTATGCACTTTTCAGGAGAGGTGGTTTATATTGTCGATTCTTTCAACTCTGCAGAACCTCAGAGGGGCCTCTGAGTAAAAAAAGGTTAAACTATGTATGTATACACACATACATATATATGCATATGTTATACACACACGTATATACACATACGCACTCATACATAAATGTGTATGCGTGGGTTTTCTTTAATAATCCCTGGTCAGCTCCAGGCTCTGGCACCAATATACAGCTGAAGAACTTAGAGTAGCCAGCAGAGGGCGCCCAGAGTCACTATTTTTAAAAGGTGAGTTTTTCAAAAGTATCTTCCATTTCTGGAATTCAGAGAAAGGGAGGTCCACAGGGAAGATCTAGAATATTGCCTTCACTCAAATTAAGAATTACCCAGTGTCAGAAAGATGTTTTTAGAAAAGGAAATGGTGAGAATTCTCCTCTGCAAATAGCACACCAATGCTAGTGTGTGTGCCCATATGCCAGATGTTTCATGAGAAAACATCCGACTCAGCTCCTTATGAAAGAAAAACCATGTCCTTTGTCTCACTTGGGAAAGAATTTTCTCCTAAATTAAGAATAAAAACCTACAATGAACTGTTTGTCTTTATTTTCTAAAAAAAACATTGATATGTGACAGATGTGAAAAGGAATTAGGCTTTTAATTATTTCTATTGTCTTT